ACGGACGCAATTACACGTAGGAAATGGAATGAATCGCGTAACTTTGACACATTACCCAGTTGGGAAGATTGCTCAAAATTGTTGGATAGACATTGCCAGTTTCTCGAATCACTTGACAGTGGAAACGGCAATCAGTCATCATCACAACGTAAACCTAATAGTCTTAACTCCAAGACTAACAGACGCTCAAAACAATACGCATTTGTTGCATCTACATCTAGCAATTCTTGCTCATTTTGTTCTAGCAATGAACACCTAATACAGAATTGTCATCGTTTTAAGGCACTGGAGGTGGTTCAAAGGTTTGAAAAGGTGAAGAGCCTAAAACTCTGCATAAACTGCTTATCGCCACGCCATCATGTGGTTAATTGTACATCAACGTTTAAATGTAAGGTTTGCGCAAAGCCACATCACACTCTCTTGCATCATTCGCAATTGCCAACGAATATTAAGAGCGCGGGATCATCACGACGCACAGAACACGCTGCTATGCCCAACGACAACGTTGCCAGCCATTCCCATCTTAATATGTCATCGGCCGAGCAAATAATTCTTGCCACTGCATTGGTTTTAGTGAAGGATTCATCGGGAAGTTATCAAGTGGGTAGAGCCTTACTTGATTCATGCTCTCAGGTCAACTTCATAACGGAGGAGTTTTCAAAGAAGCTTAGTTTAGCAAAACATAAACATCGGTTGCATGTTTCCAGTATTGGTAGTTCGTTGACCAACATTAAGTATCAGACGTTCACATCAATCAAATCTCGTCATTCAAATTTTGAACTTGCTTTAAACTTTGGTATTACGAATCACATCGCATATCAACCAAGTTCTGAAATCGATATATCGTCGTGGAAGGTTCCACCAAATACACCTCTCGCCGATGAGCAATTCTTTAAATCCAAGCGCGTTGATCTTTTGCTTGGAGCTGAAAGTTTCTTTGATATTTTGTCTGTCGGTCAAATCAAACTAGGTGAAAATCTTCCAGTACTTCAAAAAACACTATTAGGATGGATTGTATCTGGCAAGTACAAGGGTCAGCCATTTGCATCACCAGCAGCAAAATGCCTATTATCAGTTGAAGATACAGTCTCCGATCAATTAGAAATGATGTGGAAGATAGAGGAAGTGCAATCGGCTTCAAAGTCATGGTCACCAGCACATGTTGCGTGTGAGTCATTATATCGTGAAACGGTTCACCAAAATGCGATGGGAAGAATTGTCGTTCGGTTACCATTCAAAGATTCACCAGATTGTCTTGGTTTGACACACAATATCGCCTTGCGCCGTTTTTATTCTGTAGAACGGCGATTGTCATCTAATCGTGCACTGAAGCAAGACTATCAAGAATTCATGAAACAATATCGAGAGCTCGGACACATGACGCGTGTTGAGACTCCGAAAACCAACGAACCTCATTATTATATCCCTCATCATTGTGTTTTAAAACCGTCGAGCACTTCGACCAAGCTGAGGGTGGTTTTTGATGCGTCATGTCCAACAACTTCGCAACGTTCATTAAATGATATTCTACTGGTCGGCCCGACAATTCAGTCGGAGTTATATTTGTTGCTACTTCAATTTCGTTTGCACCGATATGCCTTGACGGCTGACATTGTTAAGATGTACCGACAGATACTGATAGATGAACCAGATCGAAAATTCCAATATATTTTTTGGCGAGATACGGAGTCCGATCCTGTTAGTACTTACGAGTTGAATACAGTCACTTATGGTACTGCATCAGCACCTTTCCTAGCAACCAGGAGTTTGCAGTATTTGGCGGACAAATTTGAAACACAATACCCAATAGGCGCTGCACTCATTAAATCAGCGTTCTTTGTCGACGACTTCTTAGGTGGAGCAGATTCCATTGATCAACTCACCAATATCAGACATCAGTTAACGGCCATTCTACAGAAGGGTTGCTTCGATCTTGACAAATGGCATTCAAACCATCATGACTTCATCAGCGATACTACAACAAAGAGTTTGAATCTTGATACAGATACAGTCACCAGCGCTCTAGGCATCAAGTGGCACCAAATGCAAGATGTTTTCCTATTTTCGTTTAATGCACAACCAGGTCATATTGTAACAAAACGCACCATCTTATCCCTTGCGTCTTCATTATTCGACCCGCTTGGATTACTAGCACCGATCATACTCGTAGCCAAAATTATGATGCAAGAATTGTGGCTTTTGCGTGTGGACTGGGACGAGTCAGTCCCTCAAAATCTTCACTCAGCTTGGAAAACATTTATTCAAGATCTTACAACGCTTTCATCGGTTAAGGTGCCGAGGTACTGCCTATCCATAAACTATCAACAGGTTGATGTACACGGTTTCTGTGACGCTTCAATACGCGCATATGGTTGCTGTATATTTCTCCGATCACAAAACACATCAGGTAAGGTGACGGTCAGGCTATTCACTGCAAAATCCCGTGTGGCACCTATAAAGCGGAAGTCGCTACCTAAACTAGAACTCTGTGGTGCCTTACTTCTTGCCAAACTGTATCAGAAGGTCCAACCAATATTTGCGCAATTTAAGGGTGAAACGTTTTTTTGGACTGATTCACAGATTGTATTACATTGGTTGAAGCAGCACTCATCAACCCTGTCTGCATTCGTTGGCAATCGAGTAGCGGAAATTCAAGATATTACCGCAAATGGGCAATGGAGACACGTTCCTACCCAATCCAACCCGGCAGATGTTGTGTCGCGCGGCTGTAACATCCGCCAATTATCAGAGTCTTGTTGGTTTACGGGGCCGGAATTTTTGTTACTCGCTGATAAATACTGGCCGCATTTGAAATGTCACAACCTGGATATGGAAGAAGTCAATAAAGAGACGCGAAAGGTTGTATTCGTTAACACAAATGAAGACAACTACGTATTACAGGTATTGTCAAGATATAGTTCATACACTAAGATGCTACGAGTAATAGCGCAGGTACAGCGTTTTTATCATGTAACCAAGAATAAATTGAAGAACGGAGAATGTACCCTCCAACCTATTCAGCTACAAAAGGCATTGCACTGTATTATTTGGGTCATCCAACAGCAATTCTTCGAAATTGATATACAACGCCTACAACGAGGGAACCCAGCCGAAGGTACATTAAAGCATCTAAATCCCTTCCTGGACAATGTATTCGGTTATCAATTACTAAAGGTGGGAGGTCGCCTCGAGCTGAGTGACATCTCAGTAGGCCAACGTCACCCTATTTTGTTGCCGAAGGGCTGTTATTTTGTGGAACTTTATGTTCGGCATATACACTTGTGCAACTATCATGCAGGCGCAAAAGCACTAATTGCCCTTACTCGACTAAACTTCTGGATAATTAATATTCGAGAAATTGCACGCCGAGTCGTGCACTCGTGTATTCACTGCGTGCGTTATAAACCCAAACTACTTAATCAAATGATGGGTAATCTCCCAATCGAACGCCTCACTCCAAGTCGTCCTTTCGCGCGTACTGCGGTAGATTTTTGCGGTCCGATATTAACGTATCTCCGAATTCGGGGACGGGTTCCATATAAGACCTATATAGCCGTGTTCGTTTGTTTGTCTACAAAGGCAGCTCATCTAGAAGCCGTGTCAGACTTATCTACGGAGGCATTTATTGCAGCACTGAAAAGGTTAATCGGTAGACGAGGGTTACCATCAGACATCTATTGCGACAACGCCACGAACTTCGTTGGGGCTAACAACAAACTAGCAGAGTTAAAAAGAATGTTTTTCGAGAAGTCTAATCAAGTGATGCTGCAGACCTTTTGCAGCAACCAATTCATAAATTTCAATTTTATACCGCCCCGAGCACCTCACTTTGGAGGTCTATGGGAAGCGGCTGTAAAAAGCGCGAAAGGCCATCTGTATCGAACACTATCAAATACTCGATTCACCTTTGAGGAGCTTGGAACAGCACTGATTGAAATCGAAGCTATCTTAAATTCGCGACCAATCACACCTCATTCTTGTGACCCGAGCGATTATGAAGCGCTAACGCCAGCACATTTTCTTATCGGTGGGCCGCTCAAAACTTTATCTGAACCAAGTCCTCAGTATGAAGCTGCTTCATTAATTGATAAATGGTCTCGTATAACCGCAGTCAAACATCACTTCTGGCGCAGATGGTCTAGAGACTATCTGAATGAGCTGCAGATACGCACCAAATGGACAGAAGAACAATCTAACATCACCGAGGGGGCTCTGGTTTTAATCCATGAAGACAATATGCCTCCACAACGCTGGTTGATGGGCCGAATCGTGCATTGCATCAGGGGTCCAGATAATTTGGTTCGTGTTGTTGATGTGCAAACCCCAAAAGGAGTAATACGGCGTCCAATCCACAAACTCGCACTATTACCAATTGAAAATCCTTTCAAGGGGGGCGGGATGTTAGAGCGGTTAAAGTCAAATTGTTAATATTGTAGGATTCTGTAGAATTATTATAATTGATGTGTTATATGATTTATATATTATATTTTATTATATTTTAATTTATTTTAAATCATATATTGTATAATTAAATTATTATAATTAATATATTATATAATTCATATATAATATTTTATATGGTTAATATATGGTTAATTAATTTATCTAACTAACCCTGTATAAGATGTAATCAAACCAACGGTTCTAAGTCTTGTTTTTATTGCCTTTTGTTTTTGCGCTCGAGATGAGCAATTTTTTTGTTATATTTTTTGGGCTGCAAGTAAACTCCGTTGGTTTGATGCTGTCTCTTGTTTTTCGATCGCGAACGTGTCAACACACGGGTACACATAAAAAAGTGATTAAACAATCAATAACCGAAATTGTATAAATTCAATTGTATAAATTAAATGAAATCAAAACCCAATTATAAAAACGTTTATAATTTACATTGTGTTAAAGAAATTGAAATAAAGATCATAAAACCCAATTATAAAAACGCTTATAATTTACAACCATTTTTGTATTTTAATTTAATATTTTTTATTAATTTTCATTTACAGAGCTTAGTCCGCATGAAGTGGAGGGAGTGCGTTATGGTAAATGTAAATGGTTTAATGTTGCAAAAGGCTGGGGATTCATAACACCAAATGATGAAGGACAAGAAGTTTTCGTACACCAGGTAAGACACACCATACAGCATCCTCCAAAATAGGATGAATAAAATTCCATTTTTTTTAATGTTAAATATTTTGTTTTAATAAATAATAATTTATTATTATATTAGAGCGTGATACAAATGAGTGGCTTTCGTTCGCTCGGTGAGCAGGAAGAGGTGGAGTTTGAATGTAAACAGACCGAACGTGGACTAGAAGCAACACGTGTTTCAGGACGAAACAGCGAAGATTGCCACGGCAGTACATTTCGGCCGCGAACCAAAAAACGTTTTCGCCGTATACGTTGCTATAATTGCGGCGAATTTGCAAATCATATCGCATCGAAATGTGAGTTAGGACCACAACCAAAACGTTGCCATATATGCAAGCAGGAAGACCATTTATTCGCCGATTGTCCTTTCAAAAAGGTGAGTTTCATTTTACAACAGTGGTGGCTAAAAAAATAATTAAAAATATTTTAAAATATCTTATTGTAGGAACAAGGCACGGCTACAACATCTCGGGCGACATCCGAGACTGCAGCTAGTCCAACGACATGAATATAGATAAACCATTATATACTTTTTCTTAGTTACAAAACTTAAGTACAAAAACAGTTAGAAACTGTTAAGTAAAACATGAGCGTTGATAAAGTACAAAAATGTAACTTAAATATTTCCTATGTAAATCTAAGCTAAAAGACAATTTGAAATAGATTTTGTTACTTGATACGAACTACTTTTGACTTTAAGTTAAATAAGTTTAGGTTTAAGTATTTTACTAAAACATAGTTTAGATCAATTTTAGTGTAACTTTAATTAAGTATGAAAAAATTTTATACATTACAAATAATTCTATCTTTCTATATTAGTTAATAATAATAATTAGAAATTAAGTTCTACTTTAAACTTCTAAAAAAAACCCTTTTTGATCATGTAAATTAATATCTTCAAAACTTATTTTGTACTTCATTCTATAAAAGTTATTTACACACAAAATAATGACGAATGCTTGTAATATAACTTAATACCATTAAATTTTCTATTAAATCTTTAAAGTCGCTATCTTTGAAATTTATTTATTTTTTTTTGCTTTTGGCACTAGTAATATATGTGTAATTATTTAATAATTTAATAAATTTCAATCTTTCATTCAATCATAAATATAAAAGATATCAATCTATTTTCTTACAAAACTTTAAAAGTACTAACCTTTATTTGAGTCTCGTGAACAGATATTTCTTTTTTATAGTAATTTAAAATTGAGCTGTTGGTAAAATAAATACTCTTTATTTTCATTCTAAGTATTAAGGCAGTCAAATTAATCCGGATTTAAATATTCTAATTACATTTAGTTCACTTAACAGATGCTATATACGGGCAACGTATGCCGTCAATAATTTTGACTAAAACCAACTGAATACTTCATTAAGATATTTTTCGTTTCTTCTGTAAATAACGTGCCTAGCATTGTTTAAGTTGTCTATAGTGAAATAACTCTTAATATATTCACCTGTTTTCCTTAGTATGCCCTATGGTATAAGACTCTTAACTCTAAGCTAGCTAAAAGTAAACTTCCCAGCCAACATTCCCGATGGTAGAAGACAGATAGGTTGAGCTGATTGGTACTTAGTATCAAGCATAGATCTACAAATAATTGGCAGTAATGGTGAGAGAAGTGGTTAAAGAGCCACAACAGTTTAGGGCCACTACGAGACTGTAATAAACTATATAGCAAAAAATAAAATTAAGTAAGAAATGATATTAAAGTTCTAGTTAACGAAGACATAAGTAAAAATCAGTTTCAAAACAAAAAAAACACAAATTAAATAAAGTAAACAATTAATTAAAATTTTTTATTAATTTATTATTATTTATTTTAACACAATATTGTGTTTATTAAGAATATATATACCTATATCGTCCTAAGTGACACATAAACCAATAATGAGCTTGATAGAGGCGCTTTTTTAATAAAACTTAACAAACGTCTCTGTGACAATATTGAGTTTTAATGTTCCAAACCATTGAAACCTTAAAATTCGATCACTAGCACAAGTCTTCTGCTAGTGATATCTCTGGACTCACAAAACCTCGTTCGAATGAATTTATCAAGAAATAGTATATAATACTTGTAAATTCATAGGTTGCTCTAATAATCTTGGCCAAAGTCACGCAAAAAGACTTCTTATCACAGCGAATGAAATATCAAATGAAATACTTTCGGTAAGCAAGGTTGAGTTAAGAATTGTATTTGATCACTTCATAAGTTACAATAACTTAAGGACTCATTGAAATAAATTGGATCTTTTCGAGATTGGTGTAGATTTTCTGAAATGGTCATCAAATGCACTCATAGCAATATCTCTAAGAATACCCAAATTTTGGCATAGAAGCGTTTATCCACTTAGGTGTCATTGATTAGCCTCTATATACATTCTGCTACAACTAACTAAAAAATATCTATCTTAAATTTATATAACTACAGCACGCTGGATTGAAAAGTAAGATTATGCTCAATAGATTCATTATGATCGTTACGCACTTAGGTCTTTTATAATAATAATAATGGTTTTCTTTTAATTTAATTTCAATTTTTTTATCAAATTATTACGAATACCTAGTGATATGTGGGTAAAAGCATTTTTGTGTTACTTTATATACTTCCTCTAAAATACTAAACTCATTAAAGATTTTAACTTAAAATAGTAAATGGTGAACATAGTAACTATGTTTAAGTTAATATCATGTTTCCACTGCAGCAAAAGCTACTTATGTTAATAAAATCAGTATTTAGTCGTTTCCATTGGCATAACCTGATTTATGCTTCATTTGTTTACGTTTAACATATCAAAAATATGACAAATATTTCAAGTTTTGGTAATTTCTCTTGTGGGAAATTTATTTTTAAGGGTTCATTCGACACTTTCGTTTTAGATTAGTTGATTTATTTATAATGAACTCATTTATATAAAAACTATTCGCGTGGTAAATTATCCTCCTTAGAGGAAACAAGGTGGAAACAAAGTGGAAACATGGCATTAGACTTACCAAATATGTTTAGCATAATTTTACACAGATTTTTTATGAATTTTGTATGAAAGTTATATATTTCATGTGAAATACAATAATCTAAGTATAGCATAATCCTTTCTAATTGTCCTTCCTTCATTGCATTTGCTTGAGTTTCATGTACATTTCATAAAAGCAAAAGAAAACAACTGATTTTAATTTTCTTAAATCAAATATTTTCTAAAATATATATATACGAAATTTTATTTTTATTTTTGAATTACTTTCGGAACACTGTTACATAAAACTTTGAACCATAGTTCTCCATACTGAATGTGTACTGTGCCCAACGTCATTTAAGAGTGAAATAACTAAAATGAAAACAAGAATTTGCTGCCAAGAACACATTTCTAGGCCATTGCAGGGAAACGCACAAACTGAATAATTTCTTGTAATTCTTCGAAAGCATCTACGAGTAACGTACCTACGAACGAAGGAATTCCTACAATAGTGCCAACGTCTTCGTATATCCCTATATCCGTATATCCGTATATCTGTGTATTCGTATGTCTGACAAATGTGCTTCGAGGTAGTTGAAGTTGTGTTTGCCATTGAAACAAGATGCTTTAGTAAAGTAACTTGAATTATTTTTATTGGCACAAAAACCTTAAACAAAACGAAATCAAATGAAATGAAGCAAAACAGATTTCCTTGTAAATTTTTGCGCAAGCATTGAGTTATTCAGCATTACGGATACTGTTGAGTGCTTAGATACTTAGGACAATTGAGCATGGCACTATATACCATATACGAGTATATTCACTATGAGTAGCTACAGAAAAGTTTTTCATTTCTCGCACACTCGTACCGATTCCCGTCCCCGTCTCCAAGAGGACGCTCTTGGATCATTGCATAAATTGTGTGTTCTTCCACAACTATTTACCTTCTTGTGTCCCGACTTTTTGCTCTTTTATTAAATTTTATTTGGACATTTGGGAATCAAATTGAAAAGAAAAGTTAAACGTTTTACTAGAAAATATTTGCAGTTAGTAAGTATATGGCGCTGCCATCCTACTTATGTCGGTAATTCGTTAGATAAGAGGAAGAAAACCGAGAACAAAACTTTTAAGACATTTGAGTACATTTCAAAACTAATAAAATTTACTTTCAACTTAATGTAAAGACAATGCGAATTCCAAACTCTCGTAAAATTATATGTCCTTGTGGCACAGTGTAAGCCGTTCTATGTTGCAAATAAATCCTTGCAAGTCTGTCTTCGTGCAAAAGATGTCTTTATATGGGACGAAAAATGCTATAAAAGTAAATGGGCGTGATTGTCAATGTGATTGCTTGGGATTCTTCGTGTTTTGCTCGAATTTATTCTCTCTACTGTTGCACGCTTGCAAGTATAAATCTTATTTGGTTGTAGCCGAAATGTCTGGTGTCTTCAGCTGTTCCAAAATACGTAAAAGCCACAAACTAAAAAATGCAAGCCTTCGAAATTTATCGCTCACAACACCAACAGCAACGGCAACAGCAACAGCAACAAAAATGAAGGAAAAATTACTTCATTTCCAAATGAAATGAATTCTCTCTCTGCATATTTCCAACCGAATTTCGTTTCATTTTATATTTAAAGGAAAAATATTTTCGATTTATTGGTTTTATGTTTTACTTTTGTTTGGTATTTTATGGCTTTTCCGCTGTTGCATTTATTGGCGCAACCGCTTTTTTAATGCCAATGGTGTCCTTTACAACATCAACAAAATCGTTACAATTTAAACCCCGAGCGGGATGTCTGTACATGGGATGCCTCCACTTTAAACTGAACATGGCAAACAAAAATTGGAGGAATTCCATATTTAACTGGAGTTCAATCCTTTATGTCAATTGGATTGCAGCACTCTTAGTGAGAACAACTTCACGAATGCATTGAATAATGATATACATGGTTATTTTCAAGTATTATTCTTCAAATACTTCCACTATCTAGTGGGTGAAATGCATCTAAAAGTTATGTGTGAGATATCATTCCAAAAAAAAAAATCTCCTTCTGGGGCTGCTTCATAAATTTATTAAAATTACTGCTACATATAGTGTCATATCAAACCATGCCCACGACCATATCACTGTATGTGATATAGTAATCTGACACTATAGTGTTCTGATTAATAACTAAAAACTGATTATAGTAATTAAGGATGACTTGAAGAGGTCATAAACTACATGCTAACGCGAATAAATTCTTACATTTTCAATAGAAACATATATACATATGTAAAAATTTATGGACATATATGAATACTGACTGTAAACTATACAATAGGAATGTTTAAATCCTCGATTGTAGTATTAGATGAAATCAAGAGTATTAAAGTATTAAAAGCCTTATTAAAGTAACGTGAATAATACTGGAAAGACTTGTCTCTTAACGTGAACAGGAAATCATTGAAATAAGGCTTGGAAGGGATCACAGTAGAAGGGCTATAAGATTTTAAATAGTTGTAAATGGGACACAGCACACAGAAATGCTTTCAAGCATGTATAAAGCTGAACTCTTGGCAGATTTTGCACATTTTTAGTACTCTGCTCTGTAACAATATTTTTGATAGCTCTTAGATAAGCAAGGCTTCCTTATCTTCCTTAGTATTATTTTAAGACTAAATTATTATATATTAAGATAGGTTTTAATAAATTAAGTTACAATCTTTAATGAAAA